TGGAATGACTTGGGGCTGAAGTTAGGTCTCTTTCAGCCAAGACTTAATGCCATTAAAGCGGAGGGTGGTGATGCATATGCTCAGTTGAAGAAGACTCTAGAAGTATGGCTAGAGGGTAAAGATAAAAAAAAAAGTAGAACATGGCAGACTTTGATAGAGGCGGTGAAAGGAGGAGACCCTGCAGCTGCTGAAAGAATACCTGGAATACTGAAATCCCGCCGAACTTAACTGATTGAAATATTTTTGCCACCATAATTTTAATAGCTAGACAAGTGTTATAAAGTGTGTTACAGTAGTACATTATGCATATTTTATAGTATTTTTGAGGTTAAGCTGTCATTTACCATTACAGACAATAATGATGATAGATAGTGTAATCTATACCAATTTAAGGGAGTTAACAAAATTATATGATAAACTGTTCAACTCTCTATTCAAGGAAGTGGCAAAATAAGCTATAATGAGGGATAGATATTATCATTCCTTCACAGATGAGTATATAAAGTATCATACGGTAGTTGACTAGTTGTACCAGCCATTCTTGGGCCTTTGACAAGCTTAAGGACTCATCACCTCAATTCCTTCCTCCTGACTTTTAATTCTCAATCTTTTTATATCTTTAAAATCTTATTTTAACAATGATGTTGGTCACTACATTCCCTACCTTCGGTTTTTTTTCTTGCTTATCATTCTATTCTGTCAACAGCTTGCCTGGAGTTCACTAAACTTTTTCCTCTATATGAGCTATCTTTTTAGTGTGTTGTAAAGTTTTGTGATCATAAGAAGCATGGCATTGCTCTTTCACTAATTAAACATTGATTATCTTGCAAAATATGGCTACAATACAGTCATACAATACATTGTCTGTGAAGGTACATAGCCAGACATGATTAAAGCTTATCTTGTCACACCCTCGGGGAGTGACTAAGTTGAGGGAATAAAAATATCAGCTATTACTGGGAATAGAAATTCACATAGTATGGCCCTACATTAGTTATCATATGATATCTATTTGAGGGAGTAGCTCAAGAGAGGTCATATGGGAGGGAAAATTGTTTTGAGGTACAGCTGGTACAACTTTTTGTGGGCCACAAATAATTATATCAAGTTGTACCAGCTGTACTATAGGTCAGTCAAATTCACAAGCTATACCTACCTCAAAAACAATTTCCCCTTCCCCCATGACCTCTCTCAATAAATAATACTAAAATCTCTTTACCTACAAACTATTCTAGAGTGTAGCAAATCATGTGATAAACTGTCATAAGAAAGGAGAAAAATAATGCACTATTAAGATGTTATTTTACCATTAAGCCTGGTTTCTATATAGCCACACAACAGCCTTACAACATTGTTGCAACAATCTTGGGGACAATCTTATCAGAGGGAGTAGCTTATTGGGGGGAGTACAAATAGTTGTGTTATCAGGTTTTCCTCCCTATACAGCCTGTACTATAGTATAGTACAGGCTGTATAGGGAGGAAAACCTGATAACAGAACTATTTGTAAATGAGGTCATCTATCTTTCACAAACTCAAGCACAACATCATCATCATATACCTATACCTTCTCCTGATCTCTTTCTTTGTATTAAAGTTTAAATCTCACATTAAATCTTATTTTAAACAATGACAACCCTACGCAAAGTGTGGTACCCATGCTTTGCATAAGGGAGGACTAGGTAACTACTGTTGTCTGTCAGTCCTTCATTATTCTGTGAACTACTTCATTTTTACAGGTTGTTGTTGCAGCAGTATCAAATATTATTCCCTCCATGGGTACTAATCGTTTTAAAGTGATAAGCATGGCTGTAACAAGTAGAACAGGCAGACCTTGATTGATGCTATGAGAGAGACAGGAGACCATGCAGATGCTGAAAAACTGAAAGCCCTATACAAAACATTACTTTTAAATTGAAATATAAAACTATCAAGCCGGCTTAATTGGTTGACATATTTGGACTATTGTCAATCAGTTTATCTTAAGTCACTTAAACAATTGTATTTGTGCAATCATTTAAGTTATAGAAATGAGGTGTATGTATATACCAGAAAATGACATTAAAACAACACAGAAAGTTAAGTTTTGATAGTAATTGGATAACAGCTTTATCTAAGTAAATCACATCAGTTCCACAGTTAAAGCAAGCCAATGTTTGGCACTATTTGTCAATCAATTTCACTTAAGTCACTCAAATAATTATATTTGTAATTTGCATATAATTATTTAAATTATAGCAGATAATGAGGCATAAATTTATATGTGAAAACATACTATAAAGACTATGATGAACTTTTGAGCAGACATTAAAAATAACACAGGAAGTTTTGATAGCAATTATAATATAGGTAGCTGAAGACTATTGCACTCTTAGTTCAACACTATCAGAGCTTCAATCCAAATTTTTGCTGTTCTCTTTGAACTGATTTAGCTACATGGCAGATAGTAAGTTTTGACTATTATAGCTGTTCTTTTTCTAAATGAAAGAAGGAAGGTGCAAGTTTTATATGTATAGTTTATATGATTGTAGTTTAACTTTAGATACAAGTACAAGTAGACTAAAATATTTTTCTCTCTGTAGCTGAACACTCAAAAAGATTTAGAGAATTCTCTGATAAACTGGAAAATGCCATTACTCCTTCCTTGAAGAATGTAGCAAGCAAGCTTAGTGCTAAAGGTCTCATAGCACTTAGTACAAAAATGGAAGCAACAAGTAGCACTGATGCTCGAGGGACAGCCACAAAGATAGTAGATGAGTTACAAGGAGCTCTTGATGAACATGATGATCCTGAATCATTTGTAAATGAAGTGTGTACAGCATTAAGAAATGTTAGAGAGAAACGAATCACTGATGTAGTAGACAAATTGGGTGAGTTAACTTAAAGTTACTATATAGCTATATACATGTAGCATAGAATCATGTATTTGAACAATATACCTTCTTGATCACTTTAACACTGCATTGATAGGCCTATTATCAAATATTTTTGATTTAAAACATTAAAAGTCATTGAGCTCACTTAGGTTGAAAATAGTAAACAACTTGGGTAAGTTAGAATTATACACTTGATAAAATTATACTTTATACATAGCATAAGTGCACTAATTATGTATAAAGTATTACAAATCGTCAAAGCTGGTTTTTGAAAAAATCTGTGTGAGTAAATAATTATGCTATGCTCTTATAAATGCCAGTAAATTTTAAGATTCTAAGTTTTTAAGACATTACCGTAATTTCAGAAAATTAATAATAGTGATGCCAAATATTTTTGAACTGAAGTGATTATGTAGCAATAATTATTCCTAGAAGTCCTTGAAATCACTGCATTCTGCCTATGCTGAAAATAGTGAAAAGATTTGTCTTGATACAATATACCTAATTAGCTACAAAACAACAGCTTTAAAAAGTGTCAATTTAAATCACATATCTTTGTCATTCCCTCAAATATTAGAAAGCATAGCTGAATGAGGTACCGGGTATACTATATTGCCAACTGAGTGCATCTATATATTGATACAATAATATTACTATGTTTTCTGTATAGAAAAAGAAATTCAAACTTCAAGACAAATTTCTGAAGAAAATGGTGATGATGATGAGCAAAGAAAGGGTAATAGTAATTGTAAAAATTAAATAATAAACTTAATACTAAATATAAAATATCATAATTCATTTTTAAATTTAGGTTCAAAGTCAAAAGGAAAAAAACCTGCTAAAAGTATGTGTAAGTCTGCTAATTTAGCTGTAAACTTTTATCTAAGTTAACTGTATACTCTTATCTAGGGCAAAAACGTGACTCTAAGGAAAGTGGTGCTGAATATACTGGTAAACTAATATTAATATAATTATATTACTGCACTGTATTCAAAAAGAGTAAAAATAATTCTGCCTTGACATCATTTTTTGAAAATTAATTACTATACTAAAATTATGTGGGTGTCTGGAATCAAAACAGGTTGTGCTCAAGACATCAATTTTTGCTTTAAATCAAGTAGATCTAAAGCTTGCATTTACATTATACACTTAAATATGCATACTTAACCAGAACACTTCAGCAAAGAGCTCATACTGAAGTCAAATAATGTGATCAAACTCACTGCACTTTACATAGGCTGAAAACAGTAAAGTTTTTCGATTGTCGTAATATTTTGAAAAGCAACAAAAAGTACAGGAATACAAAATCATGTGGGTATCAGCTAAATTCTTTGTCACTCCGACATAACACACCCTTAGTTATTCTGAGGTTATACTATATAATCTGTAGTAGCACAGCTGCTACTCATACAACCACATGAAGAGCTCCTTATCTACTTCCTACTAATTTTTCACATGTAGTATAATTGATAGAGTAGAGATATCATGCCTAATGCTTCCCCAATGCCAATAAAGTATAAACTACATAATAGACTTAATAGTTGTAGAAAATTTGAGAATCCAGCTATGTAAGTACTTTCATATAATAGCAATTGCAAAGTGTAATCATGATAGCCATATTTTAATATAAAATATAAATAAGTTCTCAATCATGAATTATTAATTTTTAGTAATAGATGTTCT